CACACCTTGCAGTCAGGCTCAAAGTGTCCCACTCTAATCAGCTAATTAAGCCATAACAATTGCAAAGGGTTCCTGAGCCTTTAAATAGTCTCTCAGTCTGGTTCAGTAGGAATCATAATCATGGGAAAGACTGCTGACCTGACAGTTGTGCAGAAAACCATCATTGACACCCTCCATAAGGAGGGAAAGCCTCAAAAGGTAATTGCAAAAGAAGTTGGATGTTCCCAAAGTGCTGTATCAAAGCACATTAATAGAAAGTTATGTGGAAGGGAAAAGTGTGGAAGAAAAAGGTGCACAAGCAGCAGGGATGACTGCAGCCTGGAGAGGATTGTCAGGAAAAGGCCATTCAAAGTGTTGGGAACTTTCACAAGGAGTGAACTGAGGCTGGAGTCAGTGCATCAAGAGCTACCACACACAGATGGATCCTGGACATGGGCTTCAAATGTCGTATTCCTCTTGTCAAGCTGCTCCTGAACAACAAACATAAAAAGCGTCTTACCTGGGCTAAAGAAAAACAGACCTGGTCTGTTGCTCAGTGGTCCAAAGTCCTCTTTTCTGATGAGAGCAACTTTTGCATCTCATTTGTAAACTAAGGACCCAGAGTATGGAGGAGGAATGGAGAGGCACACAATGCAAGATGCTTGAAGTCCAGTGTGAAGTTTCCACAGTCTGTGTTGATTTGGGGAGCCATGTCATCTGCTGGTGTTAGTCCACTGTGCTTCATTAAGTCCAGGGTCAACACAGCCGTCTACCAGGAGATTTTGGAGCACTTCATGCTTCCTTCCACAGACGAGCTTAATAAGGGATGCTGACTTCATTTTCCAGCAGGACTTGGCACCTGCCCACACTGCCAAAAGCACCAAAACCTGGTTCAATGACCGTGGGATTACTGTGCTTGATTGGCCAGCAAACACGCCTGACCTGAACTCCATAGAGAATCTATGGGGCATTGCCAAAAGAAAGATGAGAGACATGAGACCAACAATGCAGAAGAGCTAAGGGCCGCTATTGAAGCATCCTGGACTTCCATAACACCTCAGCAGTGCCACAGGCTGATAGCTTCCATGCCACGCCGCATTGAGGCAGTAATTGCTGCAAAAGGGGCCCAAACTAAGTACTGAGTACATATGCATGCTTATACTTTTCAGAGGTCCGATATTGTTCTATGTACAATCCTTGTTTTATTGATTGCATGTAATATTCTAATTTTCTGAGATTGTGGATTTGGGGTTTTCATGAGCTGTAAGTAATAATCATCACAATTATGACAAATCACGGCTTGAACTATCTTGGTTTGCATGTAAAGAGTGTATCTCATATATTAGTTTCACCTTTTAAGTTGCATTACTGAAATAAATGAACTTTTGCACGATATTCTAATTTTCGAGTTTCACCTGTGTATGTATGTGTGTATATATATATATATATATATATATATATATATATATATATATACACAGTACTATGCAAAAGAATTGAAGGAACACTTTTGAATCAGAGTACAGCATCAAGTCTCAATTAAACGTTTGGGATATTGATCTAGTCAGTTAAGTAGCAGAGGGGGTTGTTAATCAGTTTCAGCTGCTTTGGTGTTAATGAAATTAAAAACAGGTGCACTAGATGGGCAACAATGAGACAACCTCCAAAACAGGACTGGTTTTACAGGTGGAGGCCACTGACATTTTTTCCCCTACTCATCTTTTCTGACTGTTTTTCACTAGTTTTGCATTTAACTACAGTCAGTGTCACTACTGATAGCATGAGGCGATACCTGGATCCTACAGAGGTTGCACAGGTAGTCCACCTCCTACAGGATGGCACATTAATATGTTCCATTGCCAGGAGGTTTGCTGTGTCTCCCAGCACAGTCTCAAGAGCATGGAGGAGATTCCAGGAGATAGGCAGTTACGCTAGGTGAGCTGGACAGGGCCATAGAAGGTCCTTAACCCATCAGCAGGACCGTTATCTGCTCCTTTGTGCAAGGAGGAACAGGATGAGCAATGCCAGAGCCCTACAAAATGACCTCCAGCAGGCCACCGGTGTGAATGTCTCTGACCAAACAATCAAAAACAGAAACAGACTTCATGAAAGTGTCCTGAGGGTCCGATGTCCTTTAGTGGGCCCTGTGCTCACTGCCCGGCATCATATAGCTTGATTGGCATTTGCCATTGAACACCAGAATTGGCAGGTCTGCCACTGACACCCTGTGCTTTTCACAGATGTTGTCAGGAATGCATACAAGCCAGAGCCTTACAAAATGACCTCCAGCAGGCCAGTGGTGTGAATGTCTCTGACCAAACAAAATCTGAAACAGACTTCATGAAAGTGTCCTGAGGGTCTGACATTCCTCTAGTGGGCCCTGTGCTCACTGCCCGGCACCATAGAGCTTTATTGGCATTTGACATTGAACACCAGAATTGGCAGGTCTGCCACAGGCGCCCTGTGCTTTTCACAGATGAGAGCAGGTTCACCCTGAGCACATGTGACAGATGTGAAAGGGTCTGGAGAAGCCATGGAGAATGTTATGCTTCCTGTAACATCGTTCAGCATGACCATTTTGGTGGTGGGTCAGTGATGGTCTGGGGAGGCATATCCATGGAGGGACACGCAAACCTCTTCAAGCAAGACAATGGCACCTTGACTGCCATTCGGTATCGGGATGAAATCCTTGGACCCCTTGTTAGATCCTATGCTGGTGCATCGGGTCCTGGGTTCCTTCTGGTGAACAACAATGCCTGGCCTCATGTGGCGAGATTATGCAGTCAGTTCCTGGAGGATGAAAGAATTGATACCACTGAATGGCCCCCCATACTCCCCTGACCTAAATTCAATAGAACACCTCTGGGATATCATGTTTCGGTCCATCCAACACTGCCAGGTTGCACCTCAGACTGTCCAGGAGCTCAGTGATGCCCTGGTCCAGATCTGGGAAGAAATACCCCAGGACACCATCTGTCATCTCATTAGGAGCATGTCCCAGACATTGTCAGGAATGCATACAAGCACGTTGGGGCCATACAAACTACTGAGTACCATTTTGAGTTTCTGCAATGAAATTTCAGCAAAGTGGACTAGCCTGCTGCATCATTTTTTTACTTTGATTTGCGGGATGTCTTTGAATTCAGTGTTCTGTAGGTTGATAATTTTAATTTCCACCAAACGATGGGGCATGCTTACGTTCATAACACATTACCCAGTCCATATCAGTATAGATATCCAGCACGATATTTTCCCCATTGAGATCTGATGTGTTTTAAAAGTGTTTCTTTAATTTTTTTTTTTAAGCAGTTTTTATATAATATATAGTATATATATATATGTATATGTATATATACAGTATATACTGCTTAAAAAAATTAAAGAAACACATATACTGTATATATACACCGCGTTCCAAATTATTCTGCAAATTCTATTTAAGTGTCACAAAGATGAAGTATTTTGTTTTTCAGTTTACCTCATGAATGGCATTGTGTGTCAGGGCTCTTTTGATCACTGAAAACAATCTCGGACACCTGTGATAATTAGATTGGCCCAATTTAAGGAAAAACTACTAAAGGACGGTGTTCCACAATTTTAAGCAGAGCACCATTTTCAAGCAATATGGGGAAGAAAAAGGATCTCTCTGCTGCCAAAAAGAGTGAAATAGTTCAATGCCTTGGACAAGGTATGAAAACATTAGATATTTCACAAAAACTTAAGCGTGATCATCACACTATTAAGAGATTTGTGGCTGATTCAGAGCACAGATGGGTTCGTGCAGATAAAGGCACATTGAGGAAGATTTCTGCCAGATCCATGCATCGGATCAAGAGAGCAGCTGCTACAATACCATTACATAGCAGCAAACAGATATTTGAAGCTGCTGGTGCCTCTGGAGTCCCACGGACATTAAGGTGTAGAGTCCTCCAGAGTCTTGCAACTGTGCATAAACCTTCTATTCGGCCACCACTAACCAATGCTCGCAAGCAGAAACGGCTGCATTGGGCAGAAAAATACATGAAGACTAATTTTCAAACAGTCCTGTTCACTGATGAGTGCCGTGCAACCCTGGATGGTCCAGATGGATGGAGTAGTGGATGGTTGGTGGACGGCCACCCTGTTCCAACAAGGCTGCGACGTCAGCAAGGTGGTGGTGGAGTCATGTTTTGGGCTGGAATCATGGGAACAGAGCGGGTCGGCCCCTTTAGAGCCCCCGAAGGTGTAAAGATGACCTCTGCAAAGTATGTGGAGTTTATGACTGACCACTTTCTTCCCTGGTGCAGAAGGAAGAACTATGCTTTCCGTAATAAAATCATCTTCATGCATGACAATGCACCATCTCATGCTGCAAAGAATACGTCTGCATCAATGGCTGTTATGGGGATAAAAGGAGAGAAAGTCATGGTGTGGCCTCCATCCTCCCCTGATCTCAATCCTATTGAGAACCTTTGGTGCATCCTCAAGCAAAAGATCTGTGAGGGTGGGAGGAAGTTTACATCCAAACAGCAGCTATGGGAGGCTATTCTGGCATCTTGCAAACAAATTCAAGCAGAAAGTGTCCAAAAACTCACAAGTTCAATGGATGCAAGAGTTGTGAAGCTGCTATCAAATAAGAGGTCCTATGTTAAAATGTTTAACTGTTTAAAAAGTTAACATGTTGTTAAAAGTTTGATTGAAATAGCGTTTGATTTCAGTAAATATGCTGCAAACACAACAAATGACAATTTTCAGTTCTTTAAATATATCATTTGCATAATAATTTGGAACACGGTGTATATATAAAAAACAATACGCTTGCAGCCATACACACTTGCATGTTCTTTCAAGCACGTATGATTATCTTTATGAAGTCAATATTTATAAGGTTTCCACTGAGTTTATTCTTTTAATATTTTCCTTCACTTTGACTCAAACCACACATGGTATGGAAACTCTACTTGTATATGCACAAAACACTGGGCTATAACTAAAATGGGCTATAATGGGATATGAAAGCACACTTATGAAATCAAGCTTACCAAGACACGTCCTTCCATCTGGTGAAGTCATGAAGCCTTTAGGGCATGAACAGTAGTAACTCCCCATAATATTATGGCAAGATTGTGAGCATGGGCTGTTAATGGCACATTCATCGTCATCTGGAAGTATTCAATAAATATTTGTTATAAAACCGTTTGTGGAAAAGCTTAGAAGGCAAACCATCTGGTTTATACTAAAGTAACTAAATTGTTTTCCACATAACTTCAAGTCAAATGTTGCCAGAAAGCACTATTATATTAATAATTCATTCAAGTAATAATGTGTAAAATAATAATCCTGCACTCAGAGCTGAAGTCAATGCATTTATTTACATCTTTCATTTATCCATTGCAAGTTGACATGTGAAAAATATGGATCAAAATCTTAAGGATTCGTTCACACAGCAGCACATGCTGTTTCGCAGTGCGGGCTGCTATCAGATCAGGGTCAGTAGGCTGCAGTGATATGTGTATTTTTCATTTTTCTTTTTGAAGTGTCAAAAAGTAACACCTCATTTATGTCTCTGCATAGCAGTGTAGAGCAGTGACCTGCAGTGCCTTCCAGTGCACTGCAGAAAATGCTACGTCCAGTGGTGTATTAAGGTTTTGTGCTGCCCTATGAAACAGAAAAATTGTGTGCCCCCCAACGAGAGAGCGAGAGAGTTCAATGAGTGTGTGTGTGTATGTATATGATTCTCTCTCCCTCTTCCCCCCCCCCCTCTCTCTCTCTCTCCCCTCTCTCTCTTCCATCTCTCTCCTCTCTCTCTCTCTCTCTCTCTCTCTCTCTATCTCTATCTCTTTTTCTGCCTCGCTTTCTCTTATCTCTCTCTCTTCCCTCTCCTTCTCTCTCCCTCTCTCCCTCTCTCTCTCTCTTCCCCCTCTCGTTCTCCTCTCCCTTCTCTCTCTCTCCCCTCTCTCTCTTTCTCTCTCTCTTCCCCCCTCTCTCTCTTTCTCTATCTCTCTTCCCTTGCTCTTCTCTTTCTCTCTCTCTCTTTCTCTATCTTCCCTCTCTCTTCTCTCTCCAATAATATCACATATTTCCCCCACTCCTAGCAAATACCACCCCCCCTTCCAAAAATCCACATTACACTTCCTAGAAAAAGTGGAGAGGAAAGAGCCAGGAGGAGGTGAGCTGTGTTGTGTTCTTTGGGCTCTCCCTCCTGTCGTCCATCCAGCACACATACTATACGATCACTGATAGATCGTATGGAACTGTATACACACACACACAGTATGATTACTCCTCTACCACCTCCTCCAAGGGCTGCTGATCTCCGGGCAGCAGGAAATGTGGGCAGGGGATAGTGACCATACTGTGTGTGTGCAGTCCCATATGATCTATCAGTGATCGTGTATTGTGTGTTGGATGGATGACAGGAGGGAGAACCCAGAGAACACAACACAGCTCACCTCCTCCCAGCTCTTTCCTCCACGCCACTTCTCCTGTAGCTGCTCCAGGCTTTACCCTGGTCCTGGCTCTGAGTGCGGGTGGGGGAAGGAGCTCAGCGGACAGCGGTCACTCTGGAACACCAGGGCACCCCCTCCACCCGGCCAGGTCTGTCTCTCCCTCCAGCAACAGAACGCAGTTAAGAGGGAAATGGGGAGAAACCTCACACCGGCTTTCAGCTTCTGGAGGGAGAGATACACAGGGCATCCTTCTTCAACTGCTCTACCCCACCAAACCGATCCTCCTGCTGTCCTGGCCACCTAGAGGAGTACCGGTGGTACCCCTCAGATGGTGGCCCTTCATGGCTCTGTCCACCGCTGCTCACCAGTTCCCTTCTTCCAGGGGGCGGTGCCGCCCCCCTAAAAATTGCAACCCTAAGCAAATGCCTTGTTTGCCTCATGGTCGATACTTCCCTGGCTATGTCTACACTTCACCACAGCTCACTGCACTGCACCTCCCAGATGTGTTGCTTTGTGACAACTGTTTTCTCTGGGGCCTAGTGACAACCTACATTGATCCAGTGCTGAAAAACACAGGTCACTGCACTGTGTGAACAAAGCCCTAAAGAAGGAAGAATACACTCACCAAGCAATTTATTTAGAACATCTGTGCACCTGCTTTTTTATGCAGTAATTTAATCAGCCAGTCAAGTGGCATTAACACAAATGCATAATATAATGCAGAGACAGGTTATGAGCATGACTGGAGAATGTTGAAAAATGTGATCTCTTATTTTGGTGGTGACATGATTGTTGGTGCCAGACAGGCTAGCAAGCGCATTTTGGAACTTCTGATCTCCTGAAATTTTCACTCTCTAATTTACACAAAATGCTACAAAAACATTCAGTAAGATGAAGTTCTGCTTATGCCTTGCTGATGAAAAGTTAAGAAGAATATGTCCAAACTGGTTCAAGCTGACAGACAGCTTACATCAATTCAGATAACCACTCTTTGCAACGTTTTTAAGCACAAGAACATCTCAATATGTACAAACATCATAAATCAGTAGAAAATGTGGAACTATCCACATTCTAACAACATAATAATACATTATTCACTGAAAATACATAAAATTAACAATCTCTTAAAGAACAGGGACCCTTTAAACACACAAACCTGTATCTGATCTGTATACTTTTGAAACTTCTAAAGGATAAGACTGAATATGTATTAATAACCTAAACATACATGTACCTAAATCAGTTTTACAAACACCATCAAGAAAAAGAAGACCTTCATTAATCTGCACAACTGCTCACCCCAGTTCAGCAAAACCATTATGAATCTTAGCCCATAATTCCTATGAATACATGCACCACCTACTCAATATGTACACAAGCTCCAAACTCAATTTTAAACTGACAAAGATCTCCAAATTATCTTACACAGCCTTGGCTTCTTTTTAGCTTAATATATCAGTGATGGACTGTGTAATCTATTCTTTCTCCAGCTCAGACACTTGTTATAGTGTATGCAAACCCAATCACTAGCATCTCTAAGAAGCTTTAACACATTAATGTAATTTCTAAGGGTTTTTTCAATATTTTTATACATGTTGCACATGCAGCTCAAAATAATATTTGGCTGTCCTGCCATGAAAGTCCTTGTTCTGTTGTGCTCCTTGGTGTCACTTTGTCATACAGGTTGCTGTAAAGACTACACATGGCCATTTCAGCTCATTTTGTGCAGGCATGTTCCACTGTTGTCACCCCCTTCCCCAACAGATCAGCATAGGTGTCAGTGGTTCACTGTCCCTCGCTGCCTCCCTCCCCTAACTAAAGACATCAATGCTAAACCTATGAAAGTACTGATTGGCAAGACATCACTCCACTTGACTGTACTTGCTTAGAGCTGCCAGCACTGTTGGAATGATTCCCAGCACACAGCAGCAGGACATGTCTGGCATCTGCAGGACATTGGAATCCTGTTGAAATACTGGAACAGTACTGAATGATCTGGGACAGTTGGGATGTATGCATTTACACAAAAAAGCAGCACGTGGACATGATATGGCAGTTATCTGATCAAGCCAAAGAGATCTCCTCTGGTCTATGGTGGCAGGCAGTCACATGCTGAGTTTAAAAATCTGTGGTTTAAAAATCTGTCACAATAACTATTGTTCATCCTCCCTGATTTCTTTATCTTCCATCCAGTGTCTCTCTTTCTCTCACTCTCCTCTTCCTTGCATTGACAGAAAACTAAGTAGATTAAAAGAGCTGAAATTTTTGTTCAACAGTGTACAGTACTCAGAAGATATGTTGCCCCAAGGATGGTCTGGTTACACTTTCATTCTTCTAGAGGGTATAATTTGAGCTTGTCCTGGCAGTAATGTTTTTTCGTCAAGTCAAATCATTGAGGTCATTATAAACTGCTGACTAATTAAAAAATTCCTTTCTTGAATGTTTAAAGTTTAACTTAAATTAAAAAATGAAGGTTTTCTATGTTATGGGGAGCATTTAGAAATTTCCATTGTTCTAAACAGTACTCAGAAAATATACCATTTGCTTGGAATTCTTTCTAAAAAATAGCACTTGCTGATATGTGAGGGTGTCTAAGCACTCCCATAGCAGTGTATCAGCACATTAGATTGAGGTACTGCTGCCTCTGACTGCTAGACTCCTGATATTTGGAGTGAGTTCTGGTTATGTCACTACTGTGCCGCTCTGTTGATCTTGCTGGAAGTCTTGACATGAGGAAGCAAACCATAATGGCCTCCTTCCAGAGACACAGTACAGAACAATCATCGCAAAGTTTGGCATATACCAGTAGAATCCTCTTTGAATGTTCAGATGTAAATTCTGAAAAATCATTTGGCAGAGTCTATTGCCTCTAGTAAATCAACCCCAGTGAATCCCAAAACCCTTAATGCGTCTGGAATTCCATGAAAGTAGCAGGTCTGGTTGAAATTTTAAACAGATTACTTTTGTGCCTAGAACATGCACTTTGCAATGTGTATGATATTTCCTAAACAAAAACTACAATCACGTTTAAAATTTAATTTGTTCGAGAATAATTTTTGAAAACTGATCATTTATTTGAGTCCACTAACTACTGGAAAATTGAATAAACATTGTAAAAACAAATATTTTCAAATAAAATTCTACTAGTATTGGCCAGCTTATGTCAGTAACGGAGAAAAACGCAGGTACAAGGAGCCTATAGACAATGATGATAACTAATCAGTTACCATCTGCCTCCATTTTTGAATAAAGGTTTCAGAGTTCAGTTCCTCTTTAAATCTTGTATAGCATGCTGAAACTGAACCCATGGCTAATCAACATACGTCATAAATAGTATATGCATATTTTTAGACTGAGTGGGCTATAATATACACAATGAAAATGTAGCTTTACTCATTTTACCACCAGCTTGTCTTGTTCCATTAGCTCTGGCAGGTCCTGCATCCACTGGTTAAAGTATACATTATATCAAGCCGAGTATTAGAGTTAGGGGCGTATTTATCAACATTAGGGTGAATGTAATTCCCTTGATTGGATCATATGCATCTTACATGTTTGCAGTTAGTGAAAGGTGCAGATGGAGAATGCCAGTGTGGGCAAATTAATCAATCCTCATTCGCAAGGTGTCAAATATGCAGTAAATGCGTGGAGAAAATAATAAGGGGTATAGAGTATGTCAAGTTTTTCAAAGATTTTAATATTGATTCATTCTTATCTATTTACTGACTATAAACAACAAATGTTACAAACCTGTTGTGCTGGTGATTAAAACATTTGACATTATTTAAGCATTCTTTCATAGATATTTACTAAAACTGTTGCTCTCAGAATCTGGTGCAGCTGTGCATGGTAGCTAATCAGCTTCTAACTTCAGCTTATTCAATTAAGCTTTGGCAATAAAAGCTGATTGGTTTCTATGCAAAGTTGTGCCAGTTTTAGTAAATAGCCCCCTTTGTGAACTAGCATGAGAATGCTCACTCACCATAACAGAATTGCTCCCCTGGAACAGGAAACATTTTTATACTAAAGAAAACTCTTCCTATCCTCCTCATTAACATGGGAGGGGAATCCCGCAGTCTTCAAAGATAAATGGGAACAAAAGTAACTGATATCAAGAATCAAGATATCGTTTTGCACTTATTGAACCAATATAACAAATTGTTTTCAATGGTACATATACACTGCTCAAAAAATTAAAGGGACACTTTTTAATCAGGGTGTAACATCAAGTCAATTAAACTCCTGGGATATTGAACTGGTCAGTTAAGTAGCAGAGGGGGTTGTTAATCAGTTTCAGCTGCTTTGGTGTTAATTAAATTAACAACAGGTGTGCTAGATGGGCAACAATTGAGACCACCTGCAAAACAGGAATGGTTTTACAGGTGGAGGCCATTGCCATTTTTTCCCCTACTCATCTTTTCTGACTGTTTTTCACTAGTTTTGCATTTGGCTAGGGTCAGTGTCACTACTGGTAGCATGAGGCAATACCTGGACCCTACAGAGATTGCACAGGCAGTCCAACTCCTCCAGGATGGCACATCAATACGTGCCATTGTCAGAAGGTTTGCTGTGTCTCCCAGCACAGTCTTAAGAGCGTGGAGGAGATTCCAGGAGATAGGCAGTTACTCTAGGAGAGCTGGACAGGGCTGTAGAAGGTCCTTAACCTATCAGTAGGACCGATATCTGCTCCTATGTGCAAGGAAGAACAGGATGAGCACTGCCAGAGCCCTACAAAATGACCTTCAGCAGGCCAGTGGTGTGAATGTCTCTGACCAAACAATCAGAAACAGAAACAGACTTCATGAAAGTGTCCTGAGGGTCCGACATCCTCTAGTGGGCCCTGTGCTCACTCACTGCCCGGCATCATATAGCTTGATTGGCATTTGCCATTGAACACCAGAATTGGCAGGTCTGCCACTGGCACCCTGTGCTTTTCACAGATGTTGTCAGGAATGCATACAAGCTTGTGGGGGCCATACAAACATAATTTTTTCACTTTGATTTTTTGGGTGTCTTTGAATTCAGTCCTCTGTAGATTGATAATTTTCATTTCCATCAAACGATGGGGCATCCTTACATTCCAAATACATTCCCAGTCCATATCAGTATCGATATCCAGCATTATAGTTTTCCCCATTGAGATCTGATGTGTTTTCAAAGTGTTCCTTTAATTTTTTTGATCAGTGTATTAACCATTGGAAGCAGATAACAGAGTTTACATATGCTCAAAAACAAGTATCCAAATAGAAATTTGACTTCATTGTGTGTCTAATGTGTGGGCATCTGGAAAACACATTATTTGGAAAACATAATTTTATTATTATATTAAAAAGCAAGAGAATGCCCTCATATACAATATTCTAGAGTGTTCAATGTATTCAGTTAAAATGTTTATAAATAATTTTACACATTTTAAAAAATTTTTAAACATAAGAGTAATGGAAAACAATGGATTCCCCAATTGATAGCTAAAATCAGTGAGAACGTCTGACCTTGAATAAGTTTAAATAATTAATAATGCTCTTGTTTACAGCGTAAAATAGGGAGATACAACTGGTTACTGCACAATATTTTTATTCATTTAGATACCCTTAGATGTTGTTCAGAAAAAGTATAGAAATTATGTTATTTTTTTTTGTGGGGAGACGTTTTTGTAAAATTTTATCAAAATTAAAATATAATAATTTTTATTACCTGCACAATAAAGTCCAGAGATATCATAACTAAATCCAGAAGGACACTGGTCATCAATGTCACCTGTGGAAAAAGATATTGGTTTATGGTGTCAATGTCCCCTGTGGAAAAATATACTGGATATGTTCTATGTGGAAATACAAAGAGGTTTTTAACATTTGTTAATTCTCATTTAAATATTCTTTTAGATAATACTCGTAATACTCTGATGGCAAAACAACAAAAACAGGGGTCCAAGCCTATAGAGATAATGGATAGAGTTGGGGATGTAGCCAATTTACCTGGATTACCAAAAAAAAGGTGAGCCTCACCTGGCTTAAAACATTGCCGAGTACCTGTGTTAGTCTTCATATTAAGCATTGCATTATTGCATTTGAATATTTAAAACCTCAGTGAGCAGTAGAGGCTCTGTCATTTGACAGTTGAATAGAAGGCATGGGTCTTAGCACTGGGAGATACTTAATTTCAGTTTGGACAGAAGTTGTGAGCAGTAGTTGAAAGAAATTCCAGGGGAAGGTAACACCCTGCTATTATTCAAACTGCTGGATCTTAAAAGAGACACAAGGTGGCAGTATCCTGCACAAACACATGTGTTCTGATCATGGCGAAAAGCTTTGTGGACTTTGTAGGCTGAACTGCAAGACTTTGTTGGAAGGCTGCTTATTGCAGAACTACATTTCCCAAAAGAGCTGGTGTGTGGGCAGAGGCATATAAATTTAGAAGTCCGGGAACAGAGGCAGGAAGTGAACTGGGAGAGAGCTGGGAGGATGGTGTGAAGAGAGAGCTGTGCAGAATGCCGGAGGACTAGACCAGGCGAGAGAGAGAGAGAGAGAGAGAGGAACAGCTGACCGCTGCTATTGCCAAAGAATCTGGAGAACTACCCTGTTGATCAGTGACCTGGAGTGCTGCAGTCAGGAACAAACTCTGCAGGAGGGGACCCCATCTACAGTGAAACCACCAGTGGCTGGGATGATGCCAAAGATAGGTTGAGAGAGTCCCAATCTTCAGCCAATTAAGATATCACTGACATTCTCTTGCATCAGCCATTCTCTATCTAGTCCTGACATTGTTCACAAGTACACACGTTGAGGCCTAGTTTACATAGCCTATTAGCAAACACATCTACAACATAACCCAGTCATCAGAGCCAACTGCAGTGTCCGCCCTTTATGGGTCAAGCCATGCCACGCTCAGTAAGTGCTTCTGCTCACCCTTTAAACCTGCATCTCATTTGGTGCCTAAAAGGGGTATGGCCTAAGTTAAATACCACTTAAAGGGATAGTGTTTGTGCTTGCATAAATCTTTTAAAGGAAATTCCACCTGCTGCAACCAAAGAGATCTGAGTTCTTGTAGTGCACTAAATAGGTCCCAACAGGCATGCAGAAGATCCTTCACTGCAGTTAAAGGGACATTAGCCTTTCCAGTTAAAGAACTCTTTCCTTACCTCAGGCTTGACCTTGTCATCAGCCTCTGAGGGCCCAACGTGAGCTAGCCTTATTCTTTAATAGTTTTCCCTCGCTCCCTGGGGACATAAACATCTTAGAGTCGAGGCCTTTGGTGAATTCTAAATTGCAGGACATCCAGAACTGACTGAGATTTTTGTTATATGTGTGTTGACCATTATTTGCACTCCTATAATTCTGTGCTGTTTTACTGTGCTCTCAAACTTGACTCTAATGTAGCACTATCCCCTTAGGAGTCGCTAAGTTTTTGGGTCCCCCTACAGTCCTTCACAGCCAGGCAACACGTATTTTCTTCTTCCACGCTTGCACACTGAGACAGTAATCAGTCCTTAGGCTTGTTTTTGTGATTTTATTATGGGATATTGAACTTGGATGGGGTTGAGGGATGTATGGGATGCCCAAGAAACTGATCTGCGAGGATAAACTACAACTACTGAACAAGTCTATGGACAAGCAAAATCTGTCTCTTCTTTGAGAGCACTCCAGCTCTCCAGTGTACCTCCTCAGACCCCAGATGAATCCTCCTCTTCATCCAGCAGTACTAAAGATATTCCCTGGGCAAGGGGATCTAGAAGCTGCCAAAGATTAAACAGTCCCAGCCAAAGAGCTAGTTGGGTTCATTGCCTGACTGCCCTCTCCCCTTATCCAACCCAGGGGGTGTAAGGTTACTCACATTGTCCTTTCTAGCTTTATCGGTTGGAGGCTGCCTTCAGGCCTTCTGCTGGGCTGGCTCCTTCCCTGCTGTTTAGGCTGTCCCTCTTAATAGATGGTAACAAAGTGGAGGTCCCCTCTTCCAGCACCTGCCTGTAGGTAGGCACCTTCCCTGTGCCCCCTCCCAGGCTCCACACTCCAGCCTCCTACTCCATCTTGCACATGACACACACTGGCTGCTTCCTGCTGATCAGGCTCTATCATATCTGAGGGCTGTCCTGACCCCATGCCAAACCTTCTGCTTGGGGATTGGTCAAGATCCCTCAGATATGCAGATCAACCCCTCCACACCCCAACCCACTGCCTTCTAGAAACTTCTTAAGCTTCTAGAGCAGGGGAAGGTATCAGGGAACTGACCTGCAGAGCCTTCAGCCCTGACATAGAGTGACATAGCTGACTCATCTCAGGTTGACTCATCTCAGGCTGCTATTCAGCATCTGCCTAAAAAACCTAGCTAGCTCCCCATGGCTAACTATAGGGGTGCTACACTAATATAAACAAAGTATCAGTTCACTCTAACCTGTGTGTGTCTATTTTCTGGTAATATTGAGTGAGTTTACCCTGGCCAGTGGTGTCAACAGGGGTTGGGCTTTTTCAGAGTGGGGTCAAGAGTGACAGGGAGCCCAAAAGAATAACTCAGCGACCCTTAAGGGGGTAGTGCTACATGTGGGGGCTCATCTGGGATATCCCTGTCCAGAGAGTCTGTGAACCCCAAGAAGGAAGCATGGAACCCTCTGAGATCACTAAGAACCAGCAAACACAAATACTCCTGCGCTTGGGGATGGACTTGATGCAGGCTACAACCACATTAAGAATGTCCTGAAACATGCTGCCCTCAATAGACCGGGGAAATCCAAATATACTGAATGAGGAAAGAACAAACAGAGGGTGCACAGGCCTAGTGCATTACCATAAAAAATGTTTAATAATAATGTGTAATAAGAAATAAAGTAGGTGTTGTACTCACAAACGACAATAAAGTCAAGGCACGTACTCTAAACTCATTAGCCTATTGGATGTCTATACTCCCTATTGCAGACTGGTACTCAGCGCGGTGTTGACTAAGCTATTCTTTTATGACGTGCCTTGACTTTATTTTAGTTTGTAAGTACAACACCTACTTTACCTCTGAGATCACTGCATGATGTCAAGAAGAGAATGGAAGACCAGACGGATGTGTGATGCTGAGTCTCCCAGGAGATGACTGGATTGAAGGGCAGGTCGAGCAGATGCTGATGGCTCGCATCCCTGAAGAGAGACTGAGTGTCCTAGATATAGGAGGCAGTTCCCATGCATCTATTGTGTTAGTGATGACTGAATGAAATAAAGGAGTTCCTCCTTTACTTGAAGAAAGAAGTATACATCTTTCTGACACAGGCACAGTGAATCCAAAAAGAGGAATCCCTGAACCCGAGCCATCAACCTCATCAAATGCTGTTGGGGGAATACCTGCCACTACACTGGCCGAACAGGGGAAGTTTATAGAGGCTCTACTGAAGAACTTTACTTCTATCACAGGTCATAACTACTGAGAGACTTCTTAGAGATTCTTTTCTGGCAAGGCCTTTACCCCTCCAGGGGAGGATTAATTTGACAACTGGGTTGATCAAGCCTTTCAGGCCATAGAAGAGTGGGAAGTGGCAGATACCAAGAAGAGACAGAGAATAGTGGAAAGCTTACGAACTCCTGCCTCTGACATTATGCGGAATTTAAAACAGGATAAGCCTAGTTGTACCGCCCGTGAGTGTCTTAAGGCCCTAAAGGAAGTATTTGGTCGAGTTGAGAACTGTACCGAACTGACGAATCTGTTTGAACACAGGTATCAGCAAGAAGGTGGGAAGTTGTCTGGCTATGTGCAAAGGCTGAACAAGATCTTGAACCAGGTGCCCGTCCAGGGAGGTTTGAAAGCAGAAAGTGCTAGCAAGGCCCTTTGGGCTGAGTGCAGAAGGGGGCTCAACCCTTAGACCCAATTGCACAGCAGATTAAGGTTAGCTATCCTTATGTCTCCATGATGTACTCAAAGCTGTTGAAAACCATATGGGAAAAAGAGGATTGGATGGCAGCCAAAGCCAGAAAGGCGGCAGTTTGGAGTGGAATCAGGCCAAGGGCCGCCTCCTGTGCCACTCAAGGTATTCTGACTATGGAAGGAGTGCCTGATACGCAGAGCATGGCTTCAATGGACAGTATAGTATGGACTCTGTCTCAGCTAGTTTAAGCCCAAGCCATGATTCAACTGTCTTTTTGCAAAGTCCAGAAGACAGTAGGACAAGTCATGGTGGCTCAGGTTGCTATGCAGAAGGCCATGTCAGAATGAGGCAAACTGTGTCAGCAAAGGCAGAAGCACAGGAGAATCCGGCCCTGGGTACCCCAGGAACTGCTTCCAGTGTGGGGAGCCAGGACATTTCCGGGCTTAATGTCCACAGACTGAGTCGATGACAGACCTTACTACCGAAGTAATACAAGCATTAAAGAAGCTGTTCTTCCCTTAGCTGATGGAAAACTTCCGGGGCCTCAGTAAAAGAGCCAGTTGATGACTGAAGAAAGTAGTGAGCTCCAATACTAAGGAACACAAACCCTAGAGACTAAAACCACCCAGACATCCACTGTTAGATGTCCTCTGGAGCCAATTTAGCTTCCAACTCTGTTGACTGGGACTCTAACACAGGGAACTGATACACAACACTTCAGAAAGCTGGGAAAGCCAATTCCTAAGAAGTGAGCAACTCAACCCAGGAAATCCCAGATCAGAAGCACAAAGCTTCAACCAGAAATACTTCTAGATGAGCTGGTAGGCCCATCCCCAGTGGTCTCTATTCAAGTGGAGGGAGTTTACAATAAAGCTTTGCTGGATACAGGAGCCCAAGTGACCCTTCTCTACAGAGACTTCTA